TGTGTTAGCATTAGGTTTACGCAAAGCATGATGTCTTTGACCTTATGTAGGCGAATGCCTGCAGACTAGAGTCTACTTTTGAGTGTTTTAACTGTTTCGGTGCTTTGTAATGCAAATACTGTATGACACGTTTTTCCCACAATGCAGGTTTTCTGTCCTTAAAAGAACAAGACTCTGTTTTTGCCTGTGGGTCGGATTAAGGGAGTGTACTTCTACACATGTAAATGTTATGGGTGTTTTACCTGCTGTTTTTTTGCTTGTATTTTAATCAGAAAAAAATTGTCAGTGAGTCCTGAGATGATATTGTTTTTCTGTCTAAATTGGTTTATATAAAAATGGATTAAATGCAGTTTGTCAGTACAATTTTTATTTTTAGAGAAATTAATCATTTTATTCAGCAGGATGCAAGTGTCAGCAAAGACTTTTTACATTTGTTTAAAAAAATTATATTTTAAATAATATGCTGTTCTTTTAAACTTTTTATTTATCAAGGAATCCTAAAAAATATATCACAGTTTCCACAAAAATATTTGGTTTCAACATTAATAATAATAAACGTTTCTTGAGCACCAAAGCAGCATATTACAATGAAAGATAATTTTACACTGAAGACTGGAGTAATTTAGCGTTGCCATCACAAGAATCTGGAAACTACAACATTTTAAAATATATTAAAATAGAAAACAGTTATATTAAATTATAATAATATTTCACAGTATTACTGTTTATATATATATATATATATATATATATATATATATATACAGTGGGGAAAAAAAGTATTTAGTCAGCCACCAATTGTGCAAGTTCTCCCACTTAAAAAGATGAGAGAGGCCTGTAATTTTCATCATAGGTATACCTCAACTATGAGAGACAAAATGAGAAAAAAAATCCAGAAAATCACATTGTAGGATTTTTAAAGAATTTATTTTCATTTGTGTTAGCATTAGGTTTACGCAAAGCATGATGTCTTTGACCTTATGTAGGCGAATGCCTGCAGACTAGAGTCTACTTTTGAGTGTTTTAACTGTTTCGGTGCTTTGTAATGCAAATACTGTATGACACGTTTTTCCCACAATGCAGGTTTTCTGTCCTTAAAAGAACAAGACTCTGTTTTTGCTTGTGGGTCGGATTAAGGGAGTGTACTTCTACACATGTAAATGTTATGGGTGTTTTACCTGCTGTTTTTTTTGCTTGTATTTTAATCAGAAAAAAATTGTCAGTGAGTCCTGAGATGATATTGTTTTTCTGTCTAAATTGGTTTATATAAAAATGGATTAAATGCAGTTTGTCAGTACAATTTTTATTTTTAGAGAAATTAATCATTTTATTCAGCAGGATGCAAGTGTCAGCAAAGACTTTTTACATTTGTTAAAAAGTTTTATCAAATAAATGCATCCTTGGTGAGCCTAAAAAGAGACTTCTTTAAGACATTTTAGGTAACATTTTAGATTTGATCTTTTGATTTATATCAAGGCTAGCAAATGGTGCAACTCTAGTAAGACGTCTCAATATTCATGAGATTTGTAAATTCATTGTATTTGTAAAAATATTTTTTTATTTTTTATTTTTTTAACTTTATTTAATATTTGACACTTTTTTGAAAATTGTGATTGAGATTGCACACTCGCATGGAGTCAAGGTAAGACAATATGCTTAAACTTTTTACAGGTGTTTACACCTGGTAGTTACATGAATCTTAAGTGCGTCTCCTGTGACCACTTGTGATCGGATTTCGAGGGGAGAGTCTCTGATTTCATGACTACATACATCACTGACTACGTCAGAGTGTACAAGGAAAGTCTGCATAGTGTTACTCTCAAATAAAAAGTGAAAAAGTGAAAGTGACGTGACATGTGGCCAAGTATGGTTACCCATACTAGGAATTAGTGCTCTGCATTTAACCCATCCTAAGTGCACACACACACAGTGAACACACACACCGTGAACACACACCCGGAGCAGTGGGCAGCCATTTATGCTGCGGCGCACGGGGAGCAGTTGGGGGTTCGGTGTCTTGCTCAAGGGCACCTCAGTCGTGGTATTGAAGGTGGGAGAGAGCGCTGTACATTCACTCCCCCCACCTACAATCCCTGCTGGCACGAGACTCGAACCCGCAACCTTTGGGTTACGAGTCCGACTTTATAACCATTAGGCCACGACTTCCCTAATGCAAATATACATGCATTTTAATCTAAAAACAAACATGATGTTGTTAGTGGAATTGTCTTTTTTTTTTTTACTTTACCTCAGCTGTGCATCTCAACATCAGTCAATTTATCTAAACATTTTTTGAAAGAAGACTCTTATACTCACCAAGGCGGCATTTACTAGATCTAAAATACAGTAAAAACAGTAACATTGTGAAATATTATTACAATTTAAACTATTTTGTGATTTAATATTAATACATTATAAAATGTAATCATTTCTGTGATGGCAATGCAGAATTTCCAGCATCATTACTCCAGTCTTTTGAATGGTAGTGTATCAGGATGGATTAGCAGTTAGACTCCAAATGCAATGTGAGCACATGCATTTTCAACTATGTACGAGTTAGCTCACAAAACTTTCTGGATCCCATTTATTACACCTGCATTTAATTCTGTTCACTTTACCCAAACAGATCTTAAAGGGGTCATATGATGCATTTTAAATTTTTCCTTTCTCTTTGGAGTGTTACAAGGTCTTGGTGCATAAAGAAGATCTGTAAAGTTGCAAAGACTAAAGTCTCAAATCCAAAGAGATATTCTTTATAAAAGTTAAGAGTCAACCACGCCTACCTAAAACGGCTCGTTCTAACACGCCCCCACATGTCTACGTCACGATGTGGGAAGATTTGCATCTTAAACCGCATAAACACATTTCACTACACCAAATACACAAAATAATGTTCTTTTTATCAACATCATATGACCCCTTTAATACCAGGCGTACCAGAGTCATATTGTAACACATTCAAGGAAGCCGATTTTATGAAACTGACCCACCTTTATTTTTTTCTTAATCTCTGTCCCATCTGTGAAGTTTACTAGCTCAACAGACTGTAAAGAACAAAAGTAGAGAGATTTGCTCTGTGTAACATTCAGAGGGGGCGAGACTCGAGTCTGTGTTCATCTACAGGTGAAGCTCAATGCCACATGCTTGATTTAATGGGAACGTATGTGACCAGTCTGATGTTAAGTGGTTATTCTCACCCACAAAACCTTCCCTGTGAATGAGAGCGAAAGCATCAGACACCTTTCTCTGACACATTTCTCCTCTGTCTGTCTCCCGCCATCCTGGTTGCAATGACGTTTTGTACTATTGTTTGCTGGCCTCTCTCAGGTTGCCATGGCAGTGCTTATTTGCCATACTAAATGTTTGATGGCGTTAAGATACTGACAGCAAACATTGACCATCTCTGTCTGATCAGTAAAACATCTGATTTGAGAGCAAGAGGCCACTGTGTCTGCATCATAATCAGATCCCATTCCAGACATGGAATTAAGTCATTTGAACTCAAATGAGTCTTTTTTTGTGTCTTGGGGTGGTTTAATGTTTGTGTAAATTTTTTTTTGATTCAGGTTAAACAGGTGAGTGTGTTTCCATCAACTCCATCTGTTGCTCTCTGAGCCTGTGTGTTGGATGAGTCAGAGTCTGTGGTCATGTCTTTTGGACAGCTCTGATTGCCTGAGAGTGCTGCTGGTTTTAAAGATCAGAGCTGCTGGAAGTGATACATGACATGGCCAGCGCAGGTGCAGGGGACTTCTGCTTTGTCTTCTGTTGTGTGGCGAAAAAAGGCTCTTCTCGTGCATATCACCAGTACTCCCCCATGTGGTCTAACGCTGCACTGCTATTCAGCTACAGTGACTTTATGAGTTTAACATGGCGACCGCTTGAGCCGTTGTTGGCCGAGAACTCTCTCAAACTTTGCTTGTCTGATTTTTTAGAGCTGTGACTGTCACTGTTTTGATAATGATGTTGAACTCTTCTTAATGTGTGTTTGCTTTGTTGCTAAATTCATTTATGCCAGTGTTCCCTAAAAAAAAGTTTTCCACATCCCTGAAAGAAAAGATTTTATCCCCCTTTTTTGTTGTGAACAGAATTAAACCAGGCTTTGTGCAAAAATAAATAAATCAATCAATAATTAAAAAAAATGGCTTGTTATAAAATCCTTAATTTTAAACAACATTTTTCAAATTCTTATAAAAGCATACATGTTGTCTTCTAATTAATATGAGGCCATAAAAGTGCATGGAATATTTGTCCTTTTAACAAATGAATTTGTCACTTTCTAGGACTGTAGAATTGTGCTGCAAAAATATAAGAAAAATGGCCAGAAACGTATTTCATTATTAGTTATAATGCCTAAAATCTATACTTTTTGTTTTGTTGCTAAACGTGTTGATTGTGACTTGTGCAAGTTTGTTTTGATGTTTGGGCCTAATGGATTAGTTACATTTTCAAAGAAAGAGTTTTAGTCTACAAGACCATTCGATCATGTTTTTAATATATTTAGAAACTTGTTTTTCAATTTAACTGTAAAAGTTGCTTTGCTACTCCATGATACCAGAAAACAGACACAGTCTGGTGATAGTGTTGTGGGACTTGGCTTCTGTTGGGTGACTTTCCTCTGAGCCTCTGTGTCAGATAACGTGGAAATGCAGTCAAATGACGTAGTTTGGCTAGATAAGATCTGCGAGCGCTATTGATGACGTCTCATTGTGGTTACAGTGGTTTTCTTTTCTTTCTTTTTTTTACCCTGGCAAGCACCAGAAATGTTTTCGTTCAGCAGCTTTCAGCACACAAGAAGCGTTGCTCAGGTGTTGACAAAACGTTCACTAACACATCAAATGGTTGTTCAAACCAATACCTAGAAATGTGTTTATTTTTACATGGTTATAGGAACTTCAGCAACATAAAAATAACTCATTTAGGTGCTGCTTTGTCTTAACTTTCCATAGGTTTTGTGCGGGGTGGCTGTCGTGAATGAAATGTGCTTTGTTTTGTGTCCTTAGATGATCCTGTGGGACTGGGACCTGAAACAATGGTACAAGCCACAATATCAGGTCAGTTCTACTCCTGTTTAGCTTTTCAACACTTGAGTATTTCATCAGCACTATTTATATAAGGTTTATTAGGTAAGAGTAGTCCCGTGACATTCTGGCTCAACTAGCCAATATCCAGGCCACTCAAGTACATTTGTTTTTAATGAACTTTTTATGAACCTTTGTGATGTTCCATTGGTAGCACTTTACAATAAGGTTCATTAACATTAGTTAACTACTTTATTTAACATGAACTAAGAATGAACAATACTTCTACAGCATTTATTAATCTTAGCTAATGTTAATTTCAGCGTTTACTAATGCATTATTAAAATCAAAAGTTGTGCTTAATAACATTAGTTAATGCACCGTGAATTAACATGAACTAAGAGTGAACAACTGCATTTTCATTAACTAACATGAACAAAGATGAATAAATACTGTAATAAATGTATTGTTCATTGTTTGTTCATGTTAGTTAATACATTAACTAACATTGACTAATGGAACCTTATTGTAAAGTGTTACCCTTCTATTTATAAACGAATGTATAAAATGGAAATAATTTAATAATGATTGGTATAATGAATTTTTAATGTGATTTCCCTTTTTATAGTAATCATTCATTCAGAATGTCTGGTTCTAAATGTTAACTACATTTATGTTTTATAAATACTGTATGATCATATATTATATTATTATATTAGTTGTGTGTGAGTTTTATTTTATAATGTTTTATATACAGCCCAGAATAAGAGTAATCTTTGTAGTCCTTTACATATAGACCAGCATCTCCTCTCACTTTCTTTACATCTGAATGAGCCTCATATCGTCCATCTGAGGACAGTTTATAGCCTGTTAGCATGCTGAGTCCTGTAGCCCCTCCATCTGCCTGCTGCTCATTACTGCGGCTGACATGCAAGTGGATAACCCTCATCCTGGCTCACATAAAGCTTGCCAAATGACGTCAAAGCCTGGAGAAAGTGCTCGCTGTGCACTTTTACCACACACATGTGTGAGCATGCACACACGCAGGTTGCAGCAGTGCTGCCTTTCTACTTTATTACTTTCATCAGAACCACCACCCCCCCTTCAAAACAATTCTGTAGGTCTGAATTAAATACAATCAATAAAATGAGCGCAGCATGTGCACACAAGGCTGAAGATGGATTAAGACTAGCTGAGTTTATTATAGATACCCAGAGTTCTTCCTGTAATATCATTATGAACGGTTCCTTTTTCCGCTGAGTGGATATAATCAAAAAACGGTCTCCGCTACTTGGCTGGAATTATCAAATGGATGGCTCCGAGAATGAGTCATTCTTTGCTACAGTTACTACTGGCACAAGTCTGGAGCAGTGGGATGGCATGCTGTAGCGTTCCTGTAGCTCAATCACTGTAACAACGCCAAAGTCATAGATTTGATTCCCAGGGAATGCATTAACTGATAAAATGTGTAGTTTTAATGCAATGTAAGTCACTTTGGGTAAAAGTGTCTGCCAAAATGCAAATGTAAAGGTAAAGGTTTAAAATCCTGCTGTATTTCTAAATGACCACAAGGAGGCAGTAGGTGTCCGGAAAACAGATATGTACAGGGTAAATCTCTGCATCTTTATGCAGCAATTTCCTGATTTTGCAGTGCATTCTATGGATGTTGTAATATGTACTTTTTGTGTACTTAGGGTGCAGTGAGTGGAAGCGGCGTGGATCTCTCTGTGATAAACGAGGCCAGGAACCTGGTCTCAGACCTGCTGATGGACCTGTCTCTCTCACCCCACGTCATCTCCTCACTGCGCAGTGTCAGCAGTCTCATGGGAGCTTTCTCTGGGTCCTGCCGGCCCCGGGTCAACCCCTTCACCCCCTTCCCTGGTTTCTACCCCTGCGCTGAGATAGAAGACCCCTCAGAGAGAGGAGAGAGAAAGCCACTGAAGGTAGGTGAGCAGCAGTTGTTGGGGATCCTTGCTGAGCTACAAGTCACTCATAATTTGAAGTAGTGTAACTGCAGTCAAGCTACACTTTTGAAAAAGTAGTTCGCTACTAACAAAAAGTAGCTCTGCTATATTGTTGTTGCTCAAGGGCCAATAGTTATATATTTAGGTATAAACATATCCAGTGATTATAATTAATAATTATAATAATTTTAGAATTTAAGGTATTTTTCTGTGCACTGCTATTAAAATTATGGCCAGTGCTGGTAAGCTGATAATTATATACATGTTATGGCTGATTACTGATGAAAAAAGTCAATTCTGTGCTATTTTGTCTACTTTTTAGTATTTATAAATACCGGTACTAAAAAGTAAAATCTGTGGTTTTAAATGCTTAAAGTGAATTAGGCATCACAGCATTATAATGTACAGTCGGATATTTATGACATTTGCACTTAACAGTGTTACAGTGTTATTGCACTTAAAAGTTAAATACTCTAATAATATGGCAAATGTGGCACAATTACATTTCCAGTATGAGCCATTGTATATCCAATATAGACAATACCAATAAATGAAAAAAACTAAATCTAATATCAGTTGATAACAACTGGTACAAACATACACTATCATTCAAACGTTTTTTCTATGAAATAAAAATGCTTTTTTTTCCCAGAAAGAACACTGTACATTTGTCAAAAGTCACATTTATAATACAAATGCATTTCCATTCTATTCTTCAAAGAATCCTGATAAAAAGTATATCCCAGATTCCACAAAAATATTAAGCAGGAACTGTTTTTAACATTGATAATGATAGAAAAATTTTTTGGGAATTAAATCAAATTAAAGAACTGTTTGACAGTTTCACTAACTGTCCAAATGGAACGCTTTACTAGAATGAATAATACTTTTTAATATTACAAATGAGAGAGAGAGAAAAGGGTGAGAAGGCAGTTTAGGAGAGTGTTCTAAAATATTGCCTCAACTTGGATCTAAGTGAGCAATACAGTGAGAAATTTGGAAATGTGTGCCCTTGAGCCAGAGATATTATGATCTCCAGAGGTATTGTCCCTGTAACTGGTGCACTTTAAGTCATCCTGCTTATTGAGTACTTCCTAAATGACCTTGTACTTTCAGGGTCTAAGCAGCAGGAACAGTCTCCCTACCCCTCAGCTGAGGCGCAGTTCAGCCTCTTCCTCTCTGCCCCCACTGGAGTCTGCCTCCTCACGCTGGGAACGCACCAATGGAAAGAGATCTCACTTTGAGCTCAGCAGGTCAGACCTCTCAAACTGTCTCGCGACTACACTCTTTCACTTTAGTGCACTCTCTGTACTCCTCTGAGGTGGGCAAGGACAGGGACACGGGTGCATTTGTATCTGTCGTCACCAAGTATGGTGTATAATATGACCAAATAGTTTACCCTCAAGGTGGCAGTGTTAAAAAGAGATCTGTCAGATGCTGGTTTGAGAATCCTTAAAGAAACATCAGCTAATGCAAATTTGACTTATGACTAGGCTCACATGGTATTGCTGAATGGGAACATTAGTCATTCATAAAATGCTCCATAGCCCTTTCCATTTTTATTAAATATTTTGATTTATCAAGTCATTTTAATATGCTTTCAGCTATCAATGAAATTGTAGTCATGTCAGCTATAAGACATTTTGTCTTTTTTTTTTTTTTTTACCCTACAGCCAGAGTTGTGTTTCTAATGGGCCCAACAGCAACTTGCTGACTATTCCTAAACAGAGATCCTCCTCCGTCACCCTCTCCTACAGCCACACTCTACCCAGAAGACCAGGTCTGCACCCATCAAGAGTGAAATAACCTACTTTCCATTTTTATTAAATATTTTGATTTATCAAGTCATTTTAATATGCTTTCAGCTATCAATGAAATTGTAGTCATGTCAGCTATAAGACATTTTGTCATTTTTTTTTTTTTTTTACCCTACAGCCAGAGTTGTGTTTCTAATGGGCCCAACAGCAACTTGCTGACTATTCCTAAACAGAGATCCTCCTCCGTCACCCTCTCCTACAGCCACACTCTACCCAGAAGACCAGGTCTGCACCCATCAAGAGTGAAATAACCTTCCTTGCATATAATATTTTGTAAAAGTTATGAGATTAGTCAGACTGATTTACATGTCATAATTGTGGAGGTGGCATTACATCAACAGCTGAGAAACAGTTGAGAAATGTCCTTCATGTTTTTTGTCCATACAATGGAAATCAGTGGTCACTGATCTTGACACACAACATGAGGGTCTGAAGGGGGTCCTTTCTGGTTGTTTTCTTGTTGCATGACAACGAAATGGTCACCCGTACAGTACGTTGACTACACCACACTTATTTAACTGGACAGACAAGCAATAATATTTGGTTTATGCCAACATTTCTATTTCTGGAATTTCAGTATTTTAATACTGACCTTTACAGACCTTTAGCAGTCTCTGTACAATTACACCACCTTGACTTAAAGCCCACAGAAATTAAATCATAGCAGGAATGTATCTGATTCTTACTGTATGAATTACTTTTATTTTTTATTGGATGAATGAATAAATGCTTTTTTTAAATATAAATATACTTTTATTTTTATTTAGTTTAATTTACAAGATTACAATGTAGATAAAGGATAAATGAATAAATATTGATTTTCATGTCTATAGGTGCTTCTCCCAGCCTAAGTCCTGTCAGCTCCCCGAGTCACAGTCCCCCTGCTGCTCCCGGATCCTCTCTGGTCACACCTTACTGTATGAATTACTTTTATTTTTTATTTTTTTTTGGATGAATGAATAAATGCTTTTTTAAATATAAATATACTTTTATTTTTATTTAGTTTAATTTACAAGATTACAATGTAGATAAAGGATAAATGAATAAATATTGATTTTCATGTCTATAGGTGCTTCTCCCAGCCTAAGTCCTGTCAGCTCCCCGAGTCACAGTCCCCCTGCTGCTCCCGGATCCTCTCTGGTCACACGCTCTCCAGTGGAGTTCCCCGACACCGCTGATTTCCTCACCAAGCCCAGCGTAAACCTGCACAAACCACTGGGCTACACGCTAAGCTCACCTGATTTCCAGCAACATTATCGAGGTCCTGCCTCAGCCCCCTTGTGCACCAGGTACTGTAACTTCTAGAACCCTTCTCCTCTTCTCTCAATTAGGTTGTACCTTATGAAAGGTCGTACCTTATTGTTTTTATTTCTTTTTGTAGTTGTGGCCGACAGATGCTGAAAGGTGTGGCCAGCATAGAGGTGGGTGAGGGCCATCACACAACAGCCAATGAGATGCAAAGAACACGCTCAGGTAAAGTTAATAAGCTATGACACTAACCCCATTTATCACGACAGAGTCATTCTTGAGTATATCCTTAGTTTATCACTCAAAATGATGCTTTTGCTCACTTTCTTAGCTGAAGGAGCAGAGTATGGTGGGGAAAACTTGATCCGAGAGGAGAGCTTGGAGGCTCAGGAGGAGAGGACTCCAGACACAGCGGGTGAAAAACTAAATAGCCAGCCTGAGGAAGAGGAACAGACCTCCAGTACAGAGCAGTCCTCATTGGATCCTGAGGTAGAGCACGCACACTTTATCCCCGCATGGTTTCATTATTTTAATGTCTAAAACATTGCCTCAGGAACTGAAATTGAGATCCAGTGTTGCTTGTGGATGAGTAATTTTAATTTATGAACTGCTGTTTCGCCTTAGAAAGCCCCGCAAGAGAAGAGCTTTTCTTTCATGTAACCTGAAATGCCCTCACCTTGATTCCACTGCTCTCCTACTCCTTTTATGGGCCAATCTGGCAGTTGTTAAAGTGGCCAGCTGTTGAACAAGTCGAGTGGAGTTTAGAAGCAGAGTGCTTATTTGCATTCCCATGCTTTCGCATTATTGTGTGGTTGCTGGATTTATAGCTGTGGCTCTTGACTGGATCTCTCTGCAAACCCTCAGTTTATTGTTCTGCCCAAAGGGGTCCACAGTAAGAGTGTGTGAGGACAACATAAATTTAGCTGACTTAGTAAAATGCTTTATTTGTTATCTCTGGAAAAGATGCCAAGCATGACTTTTTCTGTCAAACTAAGCAAAACCTTCTGTCTGCTGTCTGTGATTGATCACTGGCAGGGAGACGAGGAGCTCAGGTTGGACTCTATGCTGGTGGACCATGAAGCACTCATGGAAAAGATCAACACCTGGAACTTCCAGATCTTTGAGCTCATGGATATGACAGGAGGAAAGACTGGCAGTATTCTCAGCTATGTTAGTGCTTTGTACTAAGTATTAAGCCCAGTATTAAAAGATCCTGTTGCAGCGATTAAGCTAATAAAAGGGCCGAGTTTTGGGAATCAAATTCAGTAAAATAGAAAAATGTAATTGAGAGTTTTTTTATCACTTAGCATGGTTCTCTTTTAGCTATTGAAAACCTTTCCCGTTTAGTTAAATCCAAGTAATTACACACTTTTATTGTCTGATCTGATGTGACTGGCATTTCATTGACACAGATTAAGCTGAATGTAATTCTAGTGGTCCTTCTCAGTAGTCTGTGCCAGTAAACATGAATCTGCAGGGACTAAATGGCTCACTGCTTGTCTTGTCTTAATGAAGTTCTGTTTGTTACATTCTCTCAGGTGGCGTACACTTTGTTCCAGGACACGGGTCTGTTAGAGATCTTCAAAATCCCTGTGCGGGAATTCATGACGTACTTTTGCGCTCTGGAAAACGGCTATCGTGATATCCCCTGTGAGAATAAAAAAAGTATTTTTGAAGTTAAACTTGGAAACTGGGTTAGAATTGTTCCAGTATTTCTCAAATTGGACCACAGTGAAGATTTGTGTCTTGTGAAGCTGAGAACGGTTAGAAAGAATTCCAGTGAAGTGTTAACTTGGTATTCTGTCTGTTCTCCCCTCAGATCACAACCGTGTCCATGCCACTGACGTCCTTCATGCAGTGTGGTATCTTACCACCCGGCCAATCCCAGGCTTTCAGCAGATCCATAATGAGCATGTCACGGGAAGTGATACAGGTACACCTGTACTCTCATGCTCCATTATAGTTTTGGCATCAAGAAACTTTGAGATCTGCAGGTGTTACTGAGGGGGTTTTGTGTGGTGGGCTGGTAACTGAAGGTTAAAGGTTCAAATCCCACAATGGTCGATTCATGGTCTACCATGATTGTGCCCTTGGATAAGGCACTGGATAAAACGGTAATATGAAGTGCATGATGGGCAGATTCAGGTTAGGTCTATCCTCAGTCATGTCTATATCTCGCATACCTCCCATTCCATCGGAAATAAATTAGAGGCCATCGCCGCTGCCCGGTCTTCGGCGCAAATGGTGTCCGATATGAGATCCTCTTTTGCTATTGAGATCTGAGGTGGCTGCTGGCTCAGCATGTCTGAGTCTTATTTTAAGTCTGCTGATGGCCCTTGTAATTTCTCAAATGGAGTTCACTCTGCTGCTGTTCCACGCAGCAGCCTCTGGCAGGCAGAGGTGTTGAATCACACTGAGACCAGTGACTTCACTATCTGGCTCAAGTACAGAGTTGCAAAATATGCAAAAATCTTGTGGAAAGAGATGGAGTATGGTTTCAGAATATTTGGTTTGCTGAGAAAACATTTTAATTGCAATTGTGGTGTTTGATTCTCTTATTTCATTAGTGACTTATTAAGACCTATGTTTGAATTAACAGCGAAGAAAACATAAAACTTCTCTAAACATCTCTGAACAGATCTTCACATGTCTTTTTCATTTTTCATTTGCTGAACATTTTATATATTTATATAGATCATATTTACTTTTATAACAATTTCTAATTTCATCTAAATGTTTTTAGAGGATTATTATGAATTAAATATACTAAATAGGTTTCATACAGAAATGCTCCATTTTTCTGTGGTTGCAAATTGATTATTGTCTGATGTTAGAGATTTTTTTAATACCAGGTATATAAATTGGATATATTTGGCATTGTACATTCCCATTTCCCATTTGATTTTTTTTTATGTAGATTATTTTTGCTGTCGTCTTAACTCGTGTAAAATTGATCTTTAAAAACACTAATAATTAATAAAACTTTACTGTAACCTTAAGCAGAGCTCAAAATGAATTTCCATTACTGTATATTATAATGTTGTGATGTCTAAATTCACTTGTAGCGTTTAAAGAAATTGATTTAGTATTTCATTTTAAATTGATTAAAAAAAAATTCTACAAAATAGAATTTTAAAATCAGCCATTTATCTTTTATTAGCCATAACATGAAAATTATTATCGCCTAATCTCTGTCACGTGTGATTAGCCGATAATTTATATTGTGGATTGTTGGCTAATTCACTTTTTTTTTTTTAAATAAAGCAAGCTTAGAAATGTAGATTGCGTGTGTCACCTAGGTGGTTATGAAAGACACTTTATTGATTTTGAAATGGAAAGGATGTGTAATAGTGTTTCACCACTGTTCATACATGGTCACTCTTTGTATTTGTTAGATTCGGACAGTGGAATTTCCCCAGGCCGGGTGGCATATGCCACATCCAAAAGTTCCTCATTCTCGGATGACAGTTACGGCTGTCTGGCCTGGAATATCCCTGCGCTGGAACTCATGGCACTATATGTAGCAGCTGCTATGCATGACTATGATCACCCTGGTCGCACAAATGCCTTTCTCGTAGCCACTAACGCTCCTCAGGTAAGTGGTGAACAATGCCTAAAATTGTAGTTTAGAAGAACTTTTGAATTTGTACAGTTTATTTGTTTCTGAATAGCTCATTAACAGTTTTAGCTATTGAACTAGTTTTCACACTGTTGTGTCAAGAAGTGAAACCAGCCCATATTTTATCAGAAGCATATGCTTTTGTAATCCGAGCATGGAACCTCTTGACTCATGAACACCATGTTTCTCTCTTCTTTTCTTCATCCTTCTTTCCCTCACACAGGCGGTGCTGTATAATGACCGTTCAGTTTTGGAGAACCACCATGCAGCCTCTGCCTGGAGCCTGTTTCTTTCCCAGCCGGAGTTCAACTTCCTATGCAGTTTGGACCACGTTGAGTTTAAGCGCTTTCGCTTCCTAGTCATCGAGGCCATTCTCGCAACAGACCTGAAGAAGCACTTTGACTTTCTAGCAGAGTTTAATTCCAAGGTCAGTAGTAGGGGTGCATTGATATGATATCAATAACCAATATCAATAATCAGTAACAAGCACAATAGCTTGTTGTGGCTGATGCAATTGGACCAACTCTTAAAGGGTTAGTTCACCCAAAAATGAAAATTAGCTTTTGTTTTACTCACCCTCGAAGCATCCTAGGTGTATATGACTTTCTTCTTTCAGACAAATCCAGTCGGAGTTATATTAAAAATTGTCCTAGCTATTCCAAGCTCTATCATTGCAGTCAGCGGGTGTTGCAGTTGAACGGTCCAGAAGTCGTCAAATAAAGCTTGCGCATGAATAAAGGCCCCCTGTAGCGAATCCATGTGTTTTTAAAAGAAAAATATCCATATTTCAAACCTAATAAACACTTTTCTCTCATTTCCGCTGACTGTCATACACTGAAGCAGTTCTGGCGGATGAGGCAGCACGTATGCGCAGCGCGTGTGCCTCTGAGATATGCTAGTCTCACGAGTTTGTTTATAGGAGCAAAGCAAGCAAAGTTTCCTTACTTTAGCAAAGGAAAACCAGTCTCCTCTTGGTTTATATCGAAATCCTCCGTAATTTTTCTTTGCAAATCCTCGGTTTGTACTTCTAATTCGTGACCGGCATTTTGTTTTGTTCTCTCTCCGTATTCGTCACTAATCACGCAACGCCGACGTGCTGCGTCATCCGCCAGAACTGCTTCAGTGTATGACAGAAACCGGAAGTGAGAGAAAAGTGTTTATTACATTTGAAATATGGATATTTTTCTTACAAAAACACATGGATTCGCTACAGGGGGCCTTTATTCATCCCCCGGAGCCGTCTGTGGCACGTTTTATTATGAATGCGCAAGCTTATTTGACGACTTGTGGACTGTTCAACTGTAACACCCGCTGACTGCAATGATAGAGCTTGGAATAGCCAGGACAATTTTTAATATAACTCAGACTGGATTCGTCTGAAAGAAGAAAGTCATATATAGCTAGGATGTCCCGAGGGTGAGTAAAACGCAGTCTAATTTTCATTTTTGGGTGAACTAACCCTTTAAATCTTAATATTAAGCAACGGAAACTTAACATTGATAATAAGAAATTTTGGTAGCACTTTATTTTACAGTACGTGCACTTCCCTGGTACATACATGGTAAATATCTTGTACCTACAGGCAAAAGAGTGCTAACACAAGGTACTTACCTGAAGTGTATGAACATGGTAACAAATAAGAAACACGGCTGTACTTAACAGTCGTACATGCATGGTAATTATTTTGTACATACAGACAAGTGTGGGTACAGGTAGTGCCCATACATGGTAACTAATTGGATACTTTAATATGCTAACTAATGTATATACATGGTAAATATGTAGTACTTATGGACAAGTGGGTACAAACAGGCACGTCCTTACAGTAGCCGTATATGGTAACTAATAAGACGCATTACTGTACATACTAATGATATGTACATGGTAAATGTGTAGCACCTACGGAAAAATGTGGTATTATATGTTAACAAACAAGACACATACTGTACTTGGTATACGCGTGGTAAATATGTAGTACTTACCAAGAAGTGTGAGTAATAACGGTCACTAACAGGTAGTGTCAGTATATGGAAACTAATAAGACACATTACTATACTTACTAATGGTCTATACATGGTAAAGTTGAAGAACTGGTCATTCCTGTGTAATGTTTATATGAAATGGTGCACTTTATTTTACAGTCATATTCACATATACTTACTATGTACAGTCATACTAATGTACTACGTACCGATTAGTTAATGTACAGAATAAGTTATGCGGTACTCAAGTTGGGGGGTATAAACATAGACCAAGGTACTTATTGAGTAATTGATGGTAGGTGCCATTGCAGTTAACTTGCCTTATCTTTAACGACACTGATTCTCTTAACTAATTGGTCCAATAGGGATTTTTGATGACGTACATTCCTAATAATTATGTGTGTAGACAGATTTTATTTTGGAATTATACAGTAGCTACCAGACTCATATTTGCACTTGCAACTCCTGATTGTCATGTGTCTAAATCCCTATTTAAAAGGACTGTGTCTGCTAAGTATTAACACTATGCAGTGCTGCACAGTTACTGCCGTGTTCCCAACCAACTTCCAAGTTCCAAACTGCAATGGCACCTACCATCAATTACTCAATAAGTATCTTGGTCCATGTTTATACCCCACAACTTGAGTACCGCATAACTTATTCTGTACATTAACTAATAGGTACATACACCAGTACGTACATAGGAAGTATATGGAAATTGGACTGTAAAATAAAGTGCACAATTTTACTCAAACATTACATAGGAATTACCAGTTCTTCAAACTTTGTAAGCACTGTTGTGGAGAGCAATTTAGCATTAACAGTCCTACACAAGCAATTAAAAAATAGTCCTCTTTTTATTAGGTAAAGTTAGGACTTACCAAGCGTACTGTATATACCAAGTACAGTATGTGTCTTGTTTGTTACCACATAATACCACATTTTTC